TCTTTCACATATTTTATATCTTTAGGACCTAATGATATTATGAAGGAAAAACCTGAATACAGTTTTTAAAAGTGGGGTTTTTTTTTGGTTTTTGGGGTTTTTTGGGGACTTTATTTCCCTCACTCTTTGAAAAGGGAACATTCAACCACTATAGATTGGAATTTAAGAAGTGGAATTTTTCTCTATAAAGTTTTCATAGATGTAAAATGCTATAGGTTATTATTAATAACACTATGTACATTACCTGAAGGCATAGCCATTCCAAAATAGTTTGTGATGTTGGTCTTAAAAATGAAAAATAGATGTGTAGTATTCTAGTAGTACAGAATATTTTTGCATTAATTTTATTGCCATTTTAAGTTACAAATGCTGAAGTCTGTTTAGATGTAGGGCAAATCATTGTATTTGGGTAAAATTTAATTTCTCCCGAAGCTCTTCAGCCCCCTGCCCCACCTTTAGCCCCAGCTGTTAGAATTTTCAAAATCTGTAGTAAATCTGCTTTATTCAGTCTAAAATGAAATTGTAAGGATTTGACACCGTGGAGTCTTTATGCTTATGTTTTTGATTTTTTTTTTTAAATTTTATTTGAATACTTCAATTAAGATGACTTCTGTAGAAGGAAAAATAAACTTTCTTTAGTAGTTATAATTGAGGGGGGAAAAAGCATGGCATCAGAAAGCGTATGAAGATAGGGAAGTCTTATCATGGGCTGTGGTTACTCAGAGCAGTATTGCCTTCCCACACAAAGAACAGATTGTGGTTTAACTCTTTCCATGGCCTAGTTTTATGTGCCAGTGTAGTATCAGAATTGTTCAAATCTCTGCTGGAAACTACTAATCAGTTTAATTATTGCCTTTGTGGCTCTTTGTCAAGCATCATACTGTAAGGCAATTGTTTATGTCCTGAATTATCTTCCTGTATTGTCTCTCTCATCTGGTTTTTTTTTTTTTTCTTTTGTTTTTTTTCTGTGAAGGTAACATGGTCATAGGTAAACGGCTTGCAACTTTTCTGTTGTTTTCTGTTTGATTTGAGGACAGTTAAAGAAGAGCGTTTTTTAACTAGAACTAGTGGGGGTTTTTACCATTCAGGAAATTTTGAAATTTGTTTGAAATTTTGAAGATTTTAAATATTAAATTCTTGTCATGAAGCTTCTACAATGGCAGTCTGAACTCTCTATAACTGACACCATTAGTTATACTTCCATCATTTTTACCTAATGGAGCTAATCAGCCTATTGATTAAACGTAATTCATTCCTTGTCTAACAGCGTAGCTAAAATATTAGTTTGTTAATTGTATTCTTGAATATAATTGTATAAAAAGGGTTCAGTTTTAGTTTGATTGTACCATGCCACTCTGTATGATGAGCAAACTGCATGGTATTTAAAACTAAATATACCTGCACATAGGAAGAAAGATACCTCCCCTAATATCTCCCTTCCAAACCAAAATACAGTAATGTTTGATAAGCAGATCACACTGTTCTAAACAGCAGATTTGCTCATGGAAAAGAGGCATTAGTTTTTTGGGAAAGGCCTATTTAGATATTAACGTGGATGTGTAGGATGGTACTTTAAGCAGACAAAATGAATTAATTTAATTGCTATAGGATGTACTTGTAGATGACAACTAAGCATTACCTCCTTAATGCAATCCGTATTGCTGCTAGGCAGAAGATAAGAACTTGCAGGTGAAGCCAGATGACAGAAAAGGATATTTTGGAACTGTAAATAAATTGCATGCATTTCACAAAAGCAGCATTTGACCAGCAGTGCACTCGTAATGTCACTCTGCCACAGCATGCAGAAACACAAAGAATGCAAAGTTTGTGCCAAGTTGCCATTTTTCATTGTACACCTCAGATTGATTTTTAAGGGGTTTAGAATAATTGCCACACTCATGTGATCAGTTAACAAATTAACTGACTCTGTGGGGCTTCAAAACCCACAGTGGAGCTGCCGGAAGAACGTAAATGTAATTTTTGTTCTCAACTTCATAAACTTTTTATTTTACAGTGTTTGGGGGTGGTGGGAGGAAAACCCGAAGAGCTGGAGGTACAGAAGCTTCTGTTCAGGATTTGTATACGACACGCTGTGTCTTTTGCCCGCTTGCCTTTACTGTATACTGGTTTCTCTAGTTACCACCACTGGAATGGTGCTGTTTCAGTGCTGGAATGTTGGACGTTTGATAAGAAAATGGATCAAGTTTAATGGCGCATGCTCTTTGTGCCACCAGCAGTCTCTTGCTGAGAGCATGCTCCAAAAGCGGGAACTGTGTGGCATTACACTGAGCATGTATATGCTTTGTGTTTCTGTGCCACAGAGAAGAGAAATGAACTGTGGCATTCGCCTCAGCCTTCTGAACGTTTCTGCTCAGATTTTTTAAAACCGTGTAGTGTCCTCTTTCTGCAATGGTACTTTTCTTGATGTTAGCTGTTCGCTCAGATATTTAAATGTTAGAAACAAAACATCTTGGTAGCATCTCTTTTAAATGATGTTGTCTCTGCAGCGTTGCGGGATGAAGTGAGGGGAAGCATACAAAATAAAATCTTCACATGGTTCTTTCAAAGAGTGAAATATGGGGAAAATGCTATTCTCTGTGTACTTTTTGTCTGCTGCCTGATAGCAGTAGTAATTGCATAAAAGGTGTTATGCAGAAATTTGCGTAAATTTTAAGTGTTTATTCTCTTCGTCCTGGATTTCACTTTAAGATTTTCAGAAACCTTTCTTGATGCTGCTTTGATTATGAGAACTTGCTGACTTTGAGTTTTCTTCTTCTCTTCTTTTTTTTCCCTCCACTTCTTTCCACAGGATGAATTTCACCCGTTCATTGAGGCACTTCTTCCACATGTCCGTGCAATTGCCTATACTTGGTTCAACCTTCAGGCTCGAAAACGCAAGTACTTTAAAAAACATGAGAAACGAATGTCAAAGGACGAGGAAAGAGCAGTCAAGGATGAGTTACTTAGCGAAAAGCCTGAAATTAAACAGAAGTGGGCATCCAGGCTCCTGGCCAAGCTGCGCAAAGATATTCGCCAGGAGTTCCGGGAGGATTTTGTGCTCACGGTGACTGGGAAGAAGCACCCATGCTGTGTATTGTCCAATCCTGACCAGAAGGGTAAGATTAGGAGAATCGACTGCCTGCGACAGGCTGACAAAGTCTGGCGTCTGGATCTAGTCATGGTGATCCTGTTCAAAGGCATCCCCTTGGAAAGTACGGATGGAGAGCGGCTCATGAAATCCCCACATTGCACAAATCCAGCACTTTGCGTCCAGCCACATCACATAACAGTATCAGTCAAGGAGCTTGATTTGTTTTTGGCATACTACGTGCAGGAGCAAGGTAGGAAGCAGATTGTCGTGTTTCTATGTTAGTATGTCAAACTCTGATTCCAAGTAGCCCCGTTTCCCCTATGGACTGGCTTCCAGTGAAACATTATTCTGTCTGATCTATAGACGTAATGTGGGTACATGTCCGTATGTAAATCGGCACGTATACGTTTATACTGACACACGCTCACATACATTCCTACAGACCTGTGTAAATGACATGTACATTTGACATACGTGCCTTGTTCTCTTTCAAGAGAGAGTGGGACATACCAAGGTAGTACTTTATTTCCACTGAAATTGCCTTTTTTTTTTTTTTTTTTGGTCAAAAAGTAGCAATATATTGTGTAGGTTTTCCAGTTATTACTTAAGAAAACATTCTTCTTATTTTTCAAGTTTTTGTTTTTGTTTTTCTTTTTTTTTTTTTTTTAGTTTCCTCAGTACTGTTAGATGCACGTATGTGCAATTGCACAATCACAATAAATACTGCAAATGTTTATTATTGTCTTTGTAGTTACAAATAATCAAGAATTAATCCATAAGCTGATGAACCTACTATCACTTTGAAGAGGAATTGTAGACTTTCTCACGTCTATAAAATAAAACATGAAAAACTTTAGCACAGAAACACTGCTTTCTAAATACCATATGTAGTCAAAATTACAGCATACAGTACTTGACGTTTTATTCATATTTTACATCTCTAGCTCATCTTACCTATCTGAGCTTTAAAACAAAGATCCAGGTTGTAATATTTTGAGAGAATTTTCCATGAAAAGCATATTTTCATAGTCACACTTGCATACTTAATTTTATTTGGGAGATAATTGAGATGTGGAAAATTGCAGGAACACTGTGGAAAAGCTTCTTAAACTTAGTTTTATGAAATGAAGATGAAAACAGGGCACCAGATAATCATGTATCAGGGGAAAAAAAACCCCTGCTAGTCATATTGCATAATTCAGGTAACAATATTTATAGGCAGGATCCCCAAAATTGTAAATGGCTGTAAGTAGCTAAAGGTTTTTTTCTCCGATACTAAGCCTTCTGAAATGCTTTTTCTCTGTGAGGGGTCATTTTTCATTTTTTCTAGCGATGATACCATCCGTTAGATGTCTTTTATATTGCTGACCGATCAGCAGTAATAAAGCAGTTCTTTTTTAGCCGCAGATCTCAACTAGGGAAAGTTTGACCGGCTGCAGATGGTGGGCCATTTCACAACTTGGCCTGGTGGTGGGCAGAAGTGGCCTGCAGAAGGGCAGATGGCAGGCTGTTATCTGATGCCCGGTACATAACTGCGGGATTTAGCTGAAAAACAAACAGAATGGGTTTTGTTAGTAACAAAAAAGTAAAATTGCGCATGTCTTCATTCGGTGTGTACTCATTCTTTGAAAGAACAGACACACAACACAACCTTTTTGTTTTCAGTGAATTTGTCTTTCAACATTTACTCACACAAATGGACCGCTATGTTTATGTGAACATAAAAATAGGGTTCCAATTTTTTGATTATTCATCATGAAAAAATATGGTTCATTGTTTTGGTTTATTTTTTCCCTGACTGCATTTTTTGTATTTTTCTCTCCACAGCAGTAGACTACACTTAGATATTTTGCAGCGACTTTAAGTAGCTACAGAGTCTGCTAAATCTGATTCCCAATAACATAGGAAGAAAGATTTCTTTGATAGCATTAAACAAAATAGTTTAATTACAAATAATTTGTACCTTTAAACTCCTTTTGTGAACAAAAATTCAATATCAAAAATGATATTTTGAATGCATATATTGCAAAACAGAGCTTACTGATTAATTCTAATGGATTTACCTGTCTCTAAAGTCAAAACTACAAAGGGAGGCAAAACAGTTTAAGTAGCTCTTGAGCCAAAGAAGCTGAGGTCAGAGTACTCTTACACTATGTCGACTTTTAAGTTGTTGGAAGCCACAACTTGAAGTGGGAAAAGGAATTGCAGGGCATAGCTGATTTTAATGATTTAAATGGATTGAGACTATGGTTTTGTTTTTTGTTTTTTGTTTTGTTTTTGTCTTTTCAAACACTTGTCTAATTAATTATAAGTGAGTAAGATAAGCATGCTGTAATATTATAACTTTCCAAGTTACATGATACTACTTTGAGAATATATTGGAAGACGAAGCTGGCTAATTTCTGTGTACCAAGTCACCCTTAGTAGACCCTTTTGTTTATTGTAAACTGCATGGATTTTGTATCTGTCCCGCTGCTTCACAGTAAATCTTCCATTAACATCTGCTGGCTCTCCCTTGAAGAAGTCATATTAAGTTATCTTTGTATTTTTTTCCCGTTTTGTCAAAGTTTGATTCTGTATCCTCATTGAAAGCAGGTTCATTGTGACACTTTGTAGTGCACTTGATTAAGAGCACCAGGATTTGCAAAAGATAAGCATGAAGCCAACCAAAATGCTGCATTATACACAGGCTGTTTTGCTTTTTATTTCTCTTTTGGAATATATAACCTAATAGTATCATGTAAAAACTAATCGGAGACATAGAAAGAATTAAAGCCCTGAACGAAATATGAAGAAAGAATTAGCACATAAAATGAATAAAGGGGCCAAGTAGTTTGGTTTTTTTTGTTGCTTTAAAAAAGAAGATTAGGGAAAAAAAGAGGAGGAAGGATAGTTCGAGTGCCAGTGATGGTTGCCAGTGGCACCAGGATTGGCATCAGACCTTCTTTGTTTAGCCTAGGATGCCTGTGATTTGTTGGTTGGCATCCGCATTGCAGTGCAGAGTAATGTTACAATATATTGACAATTTCCAGATCTAGAAGTGTCAATAATCCTTTCAGTTCTTAATAAAAAGGGCTTCTACTTCCATACGTACCTTGAAAGAAGAAATAAGGATCAACGTATGAAGTTCTCTCATTGACCAACTTCATCTGGTTCTACTTTTCACTCATCTCTCTCAGAATTTGTTATCTTTTCCCCCCTATTCTCTTTCTACTATCTTCTTCTCCTTTAGGATCTTAAAAAAAAAAAAAAGAAAAAGGGGCTTGACATAAGTTGCAATGCTACTCCTTTGACTGAAATGGAGGAAGAAAATGGGAACTACACGCTATGATAAATGTTTAACATCAAAATAATTCTTAATCGTAACACATGTCTACAGGGCTCTGCTTGTTGTGTATATTGGGTCCACACCTTCCCCCCCTCCCCGAGTTTTTAAAAAGCCTAAGCCTTCAAAATGGCATGAACGTTGTTTCTATTGACAAAACTGCTTTTTTTTTTTATTCTTCCCCCTGCCCCCCCCTCCTGTCAGGGATCAGAGAGTGTCTATCGTTTGGTATGAAATGCATCTCAGTCCATAAAATCATTTGATGGTATTTGATTCAGTGCAGCGCTTATGCTGTGTTCCCGTTGCTACAAGAACCGCCATTTTGTTTGTCGAGTGCCAGGAGAGGGGGAAAAAAAAAGGCAGACAATGTGCTTGATGCCAATAATGGTTGCCAGTGGCACCGAGGTTGGCATCAGACCCTCTTTGTCTAGTTGCTGAATGCCTTTGATTCGTTGGTTGGCATCCGCATTGCAGTGGGCACATTGGAAAGTTTTTGACAATCAGTGAATGAAAGCCGCAGTACTTGTTTGCTGCAACAGAACCCAGATAGTATAAATCCCTTCTTCTGATAGATGTTTTACTTACTCTTACAATGGCTAATTAAAAAAAAAAAAAATTAAAAATTGCATTGCTGTTTTTTCTAAAACATAAAATATCCACAGCAATGTGCCTCATCTGCAGAATTCCTAATCCCCACGTCATCTCTGCTGTTTTTTTGCAGCAGAAATGAAATGCAAACTTGATGTTAGGTATTTCAGCACATGCTGAATAGTAGACCTTGAGAAATGCTTTGGGAGTTCAAAGGATTGAAGCAATGGTACATGTAAATGGTAAACATTTGTAAGTGTTTTTAATGCATGTGACTCTCAGAGTACATTTCTCAGATCAGTCATGTTACTGTTTACACTCTCCTTTGTCCTTGTGTAAGAGTGATATAATTGGGGGAGCCCGCATCTCCAGCTGTTAATAAACTCTGAAGTTGAGGGAAGGGAAAATCTTTTAAACTATCCGAGAAGGAGGGCAGAAAATAGATGCAGATGTCCTTAGTTTGACACTGTTCAGACACTCCTGGGTTTTTAACTTCTTAAACTATTAAGATACTGCTACAGTTCCAGCTGCATGAGTTTGTTACCAGGAAATCAGCAAAAAGACTAAATCATTTCTGTTGGAAGTTTCCTAGATAGTTAGCGTTAATATTGCTTTCTGGTTATCTGCTATTATCTCGTTAATTAATAAGAGGGATTAGCAGCTCTACCCAAAGGGCTGCACAGAAGGAAACCTGGCCTATGTGAGTCCCTGAATCGCCAGACTACGTCCTGTCTCTGGGAGGGGGGGGGGGGAGGTGGGCAGGAATAACAAGAGAAAGGAAGAGCAAGGAGGAGAGGGGGCGAGCGAGGGTGCAGGCTGGCTTCTGCAGCCCAAGGTGGGGGAGATCGTGGTGCGGGACCCTCCTGCCGCGC